TCACAGCCATACATGACTACTGGGAATACCATTGCTTTGACCATGCGGACTTTTGTTGGCAGGGAGATGTCTCTACTTTTTATCATGCTGTTTAGGTTCGCCATCGCTTTCCTCCCAAGGAGCAGGCGTCTTTTAATTTCATGGCTGCTGTCATTCGGAGTACTGTGTACAGTTCTGGTCACTACACCTCAAAAAGGATATTATAGCATTGGAAAAAGTGCAGAAAACGGCAACTAGAATGATAAAAGGGTTGGAACACTTTCCCTATGAAGAAAGGTTAAAATGCTTGGGGCTCTTTACCTTGGAGAAATGACCTCCTGATGGCACCTGGTATTTTTGGCCACTGTCTGACAGAGTGTTGGACTGGATGGGTCATTGGCCTGATCCAACATTGGCTTCTCTTATGTTCTTAACAGCAACAATAAAAAGCATCAGATTAAAACAGGTTAAGATCCTTGATATTTTACAAATAGCATTAAAACAACACAGCCTAAAAGCAAGAATTATAGGATGGAATAGCTAAAACCAACTGCTGGAGGTATAAAAGACTCAAGGGCACCTAAAAGAATACAGACTGGGTATCTGGTGAACTTCTGTGAGGAGAGAATTCCAGAGCATATGTGCCAGTATGGAAAACGCCCTGTCTCGAGGACTCACCCACTGAGCTTTCAGGTGTGGGAACACAGAGTGGTGCCTGAGATAAGTAGTACCTCATCACAGAGCCAGTGTGGTGTAGTGATTAAGAGCAACGGACTCTAATCTGGAGAACCGGGTTTAATTCCCCACTCCTCCACATGAAGCCAGCTGGGTGACCTTGGGTCACTCACAGTTCTCTTAGAGCTGTTATCTCAAGAGCAGTTCTCTCAGAGCTCTCTCAGCCCCACCTACCTCACAGGGTGACTTGTGAGAAGAGAAAGGGAAGGCAATTGTAAGCTGCTTTGAGACTCCTTCAGGTAGAGAAAAGCAGGCTATAAAAGCCAACTCTCCTCCTCCTCCTCCTTCTTTGAAGATACATAAGGTTGAAGGTATCTTCCAGGTACCCTGATTTTATAGGTCCAAACTGAACTTTATAGGTCCAAACTGAACTTTGAATTGTGCCTAAAATCAAACTGTCAGCTGATACAACTGACAAAACATGGCCTCGGTAGCTGCCCCGTTGTGAACAAACTGAAGCTAACAGTCCCCATGGCACCTTCATGTAGAGTGCCTTGCAATAGTCCATCTAGTATATAATCAGAGCCTGTATAACTATGGTCCAAAGCACGCCTCACAAAGTATGACTGCACTTGGTGAATCAGCCAGTACTGATTAAAGGGTCTAAGTGCCATCATGGAGATCTGCATTTCCATCTGTAGCTGCCATGGACTAAAAGGCATCCCCAAGTACCGTCTCCTTAAGGGAGAGTGCAATGCTCTTCAGTACAAGCATTGGCCTGGTTACCTACCAACAGCAGTTCTGTCTTATCTAGAGAGAGTTTTGGCTTATTAATCTCTGTCCAGCCCCTTCACTGCCTTCAGGGACACATCTGACTGTACCTCCACAATTGAGCTGGGCATGTCTTTGTCCTGCAAACACGTTAAGATGGTAGTGGAAACACAAATGGTCAGTTCCTCGACCATCTCTTCTTACTGTGGCTCTGGAAGGTGCATAATCCACCCCCACCCCCCTTGCCACTTCTGTGTATCTGCCTCATCTCTTGTTCCTGTCTCTTGGCTTCTTCCTCCACCCCTTGGGGAAGATGAATGCTCTGACTCTTCCCCCCCCCCTTTCTAGCATAGCACTGCTTTAGCTATGTGGCCTTTTTGTTCCAGTACTCTGTGTCCTCTTCTAGGGTGTGCACATGTGTGTGTGTGTGTGTGTGTGCGCGTGTACGCACACACACACAGAGCTCTCTTTCCTTGTTTCCCCCTGGATTTGTTGTTTCTGCCAAGCTAGAAA